GTATTTTTATTTATTTCTTTACTCTGCCAATGAATACTTTGACTGAAGAGCTCCTTTATTCATGCCAAACAAATTGGCACTTGGTGTATGATATATGATAAGGGCTCAAAAATTATTTGTTGAATCAAATTATTTTATTGAAATGTCTTACCGGGGTTTTGTATTTTACTCACAAAGCAATGTCCATATCCTGTTAGACTCATCTTCCCCTTGCTGAGTTATAGAGTTTGCCTATGATAGACAGCCATATATGTCATGTCATTTGGGACGTGATATCATCAGATTCTATTTTTGTATAAATAGCTAATGTAATATAGTAAAGTTAATTTTATCTTGTAGGTCCCTAGGCTTGTGGAAGGACTGAGTGGTCATAATTGTTCTCAAGTGGCAGCTGCTAAGGATCATACTGTTGTACTAACTGAAGATGGATGTGTTTATACGTTTGGTCTAAACATTTTTCATCAGTTAGGAATCATTCCTCCACCTTCCAGTTGCAGTGTACCTAGACAGGTAAACTTTTTTAAACAGTAAGATGACCATTTGTTATAAAACCTATATGGACAAAAAGATGGAAGGTATTGACAGCAGTGTATTTTACTTATACTCCGTGGTATGTATTTCTTCAATGGTATCTATTTTCCCAGGAGGAATTAAGCATAGTACAAATTAGCATTTATTTAGAGTAAGAAAGAATGCACCTGGGAAATTAGGCACCACACCACCTTCAGTTCAACTTTTAAGTGTTCATAAGCAGATAGGGATCCTGGTATTTTGAGTTTGAAGCTTAAATAATTTTGAGGCCGTGCTTAAGAAAAAATAAGTTTATAAATAAAAAATGGTCCATGTAGGTGAGTCACCCAGAAGCTTAAGCTTATTGGCTTCATGGTTCAATCTATCCCTGCATAGAAATCACACATGGCAAGTTTATGTGAGGGACCATAGATCCAAAAGCCGTTGTTCTTTTTCTATTTTCTCCTTTCCATTTGCACAACTGCCATAAGAAGGTGCCCTTTCCTCAACTTCAGGGATCTAGTACATAAGATTGGGACGAGTGCTTTAAATTAATATGTTCCTAGAATCATTTCCCATAACTAATGTGTTTTCAACTCATAAAATTTTGCATTTCAGGTGTTTAATTTCTTCACTGGTTTAATTCTCTGGGTTTAAAATTATTACTAGAAATACTTTTTTTTATTATTATTATTAAGAAGCTTTACGATCCAGTACTTTCCCATTCTGGATGTCTAATGAATCAACAGGAATTACTCCACAGTAATTAGAGGTAGTCACCAATCGGTGGTACTTTTTAGAAGATCCATTTTCCCCAAAAAGCTGTGGGATTTGTAGATATTTAATCATTTTGTAGACTTCTTTAGGAATGGTAGATTTTACTTCCACGTTTATTCTCATTGTGTGGCTACCTTGGACCTCTGGGTTGATACGGACATTTCCAGTATTCTTAAGTGGGGGCAGTTTTGTACCCTAGAAGCCATTTGGCAGTGTTTAGAGACATTTTTAGTTGTCACAACTGGGTGACGGGGTGAGAGTGGTGCAACTGACATCTGGTGGGCAGAGTTCAAGGACACAGCTTAAACCTCCTACGATACACAACAAAATCCCCCACAGAGACTCATCTGGTTCAGACTGTAGTGTCACTACTGAGAGACTGAGATGTCAAATTTAAAAGCACCCTATTTTCAAATAAGTATGAGAATGCCTGTTTTATGTATTGCTTGTTAACAAGTTTAATTATTTTGTTTTTATACCACGTCAGTTTTTTATATGTTAAAACTACTGCCTTGAAGTGGTTGCATCAAAATATCTTGTGTTCTTAGAAAAGCTGGGTCTCATTGTTACTGATGAGATTTACTGGCAACAAATGCCATTAGTACTTGAGGGGGTACTGGAGCAAGTTTGCCATATATTTGCTCCCTTAGTCTACTGAGTCTTTGAAAAATTGTACTAGTTCTTAGATACGTCAACTGAAATCTTATTTGTCTTTTGAATAGATGCAAGCAAAATATCTGAAAGGAAGGACGATCATTGGGGTAGCAGCGGGCAGGTTTCATACAGTGCTATGGACTAGAGAAGCTGTTTACACTATGGGACTAAATGGTGGACAACTGGGTAAGAAATCTGTGGTGACAATATCTGAAAAGTAAATTGGGTTCTTAAAACAGATACTTTGTGATTTGTTTATTTGTGCAATTTTTTTTAGGTTATTTACTAGATCCCAATGGAGAAAAATGTGTAACTGTTCCTCGTCAAGTCTCTGCCCTTCATCATAAGGACATCGCTCTGTCTTTGGTTGCTGCCAGCGATGGGGCCACTGTCTGTGTCACCACAAGGGGAGATATTTACTTACTTGCAGACTATCAGTGCAAGAAGATGGCTTCTAAGTATGTGTATTTCTTGGAAAGAAACATACTTTAATGATAGTTCAACTCTTCCGGCAGCTGTCTGAGTATCAGCTTTATGCTAAGCTCTGAAATGTCAAATGGAGAAAATTGAATGGTGGGAAAGTCAGTTTTTGCCTTTGATAATCTTAGTCTTTTGGCAAACATCCAGTGAATGTATGTAAAAATCTTTGTAGGTTATAAAACAGTATTTCCAAATAACAGTTAAATATGACCTGTAAGTTCCCATTTTTTTATGCTTCAGGTGCACAGAACTCAGTTAATTGTAATTCTTGGTTCATGACACAATCCTCATTGGTTCCTGTGTAGTCTTTTATGTGTTATACACTAATTTTTAAAAAAAATAGTTAATCATATACTGTGGACCCTCTACTCAGTCCAAATATTTATACCTAACTGGTGTATTTTTTACCTTTGTATAGTCAGTTATTATCTGAAAGCACACTGTAGTAACATGCAGTAAACAGGCAATTGGCTGTCTAATCAAAATGTCAGTTAAATTAAAGCAGGGAATCCTGACATTAAGGTTTAAGTCTAGGTAGTTCCATCAGCTGAAGTTCCCTGTCTTTTGTGCATAAACCATACTTAGAATAGGTTACCTCTGGTTTCATTTTGAATGATTTAAGGAGCAAGTCCTTAAAAACAATTGTAAAGTAAGTTAAGGGCAGAATCCTATATTTTTCATACATTTTGAGTCTAATATAGTTGATTAATCCTACCTGATTTGACAGCATTTTTTTTTACTTCTCATATTTAGTGTTATTTAAAAGTATTCAGCCTTTATAGAAAATATTCTTTTCAGACTAATATTTCATTGGTTTACATAGTATTTCTTTATAACTGTAGTAATAAATACGAATAGAGAAATAGATCTTTGAACAGATACAATAGCTCAGTTAGTGGAAGCAGAAGTATGCAGAAATTCTAGAGGGTAGCAGTCTAACTTAAAACTATGGGTGATTTAAGTTGAAATGCAACAAAATGTGCTTTTGTTAATGCAAATCAGATGGTAGCTTTATAAACAGATACCATCCATGAGGTTAGCTCATGAGCAGAAGATGTCAACCATCAATCAACACAACTTCTATGTGTAGCAATTGGAAGGTTATCATTTATAGGCCATATTTCAGTTCAATGTGAGCATACATGTTAGAACTGACTAGGTTTTTTCTGAGCATGCGGTGATTTGTGTGAAGTTAGGTTTTGTTTTTAACATTTAAAACTTGTCTGGATAACATTAAATTACATAAATACAGTTACATCCAAGTTTTCACTAAGAAAATTCTTTTGTTATAGGTTGCTACAACAGTAATTTTGAAAAGAAAACTTTTTAAAAAAATACAGGAAGTATACCTAAAAGAGAGGACAGTTATTGGAGTAGTAGCAGGCAGGTTTCACACCATGCTGTAGGCGCATCATGTGCAGATACAATGACAGTGAGTTGGCTAGTGGATGAGTTATTAAATTAGCAGTACTGATGATTTTTATAGTAGCTGTCTTTACTTAAGGTTTTCCATATTTGAATTTGAGGATTTCTATTTAGTGTTGAGGTTTAAATTTTTTGTTAAAATGCAAATAAATTTAGGAGCCTTTTAGCTTATCAGTTATTTAATCTAGAGTGACTGTGTACCTGAGCAAGTGGGGTTTTAGGTATTTAATGTGTGTATTTGTGTAGGTAGAGGCTTTTGGGCGAGAAGGACTTGCCAAAGAAAAAAGTGGCCTTGTGTAGGAAACTTAAAAAAAAGGAAGGACTAAGGATACCGAAGGCCAAATTGTCTTATTTCACCTTTCACAATAATCACCCTGAATTATTGTTTGAATAGTAATTTCTTTAAAATTGAGCTTGTGTATTTTAGAGGGCATATTAATCTAGATTTTTTTTATCCACCCAGACAACTAAACTTGAAAAAGGTTCTTGTATCTGGGGGGCATATGGAATACAAGGTTGATCCTGAACATTTGAAAGAAAATGGGGGTCAGAAAATTTGTATTCTTGCAATGGACGGAGCTGGAAGGGTGAGTATATATATATTTACACAAAAGCACAGTAATCTTGTTCTCAGTTGATGACTGTAGGGGACCTGGTAATGTGGAAATGTATTGTTGTGATGGTGACAAATTCTGTTGACTTTGTTTCCCTACTTGTTTTTGATGTCCAGTACCAAATTAGTTTGGAGCTGGTTTTTCAAAGCAAAATATGACATTATACGAATGTTGCACAGTACTGCTTTGTTAAACAGTAGTTTAATTTACTATACTTAAAATAGAAATAAGGGATTTTGCTGCGTTATTTAATATTACACTGAGTACTGAGAAATGACACTGAATTGCATAGATATGAGTCATAGAACTACTCTTAAAAAAACTAAAAGCTGAGCTGACAGTATTAAAAATTCAGTACATAATTGGAAAATTTTGGGCTTTAAACAGATATACACATAATATATAGACGCAGAAATTATTACTATCATATATAAGAGATAATGTTTTAGATCACTATACAAAGAATCTCTTACTTTTTATTTAAATTTAATTCTAATTTTTATTTAATAAAATTATTAAAAATATGTATATTACACATTAAAAACACTGAAAAAATTTTACACTGACTAGAAAAATACAGATTGCTTTCTGCTTTTTGTTTGTAAAATAGAAACATACAAAAAATGTTCTCTGAGGTTTATGAAGTGCTATAAAAATTGACATTTTAGAAATTGAAGGATTAATCAAAAAGCTGCCTCTACTGGTACATTACAGACATAAATCTATTATAGTTGATCATTTTATTAGAGGGAACTATATTTAAGAAGTGGATATCTAATTTGTACTAATAGAAGAACCAGAGGCATGGGATTACATTTGAAAAGTTGAATATAAAGACATTTGACTTTGGAATGTATTTCATTTACATTAATAAGGATCTAGCTTATTTATACCTGTGGGTATTTACTCCCTGTAAAATTCAGTACTTTCCTGTCAAAATGAAAATCACGCTCTAAGGAATCAGTCAGCATAATCTGTTTTTTGTGTACCTTTAACTTTTGAGAGACTTTGGCAGGTATCATTCTGTGCTCTAAGTTTCTTAATTATAAGGGGATTGAACTTTTAAAAATCAGCAGTATTAATTTTTCAAATGAAATCTTACTTGGAATGCCAATCTGTGAAGCAGATAAAAGGGCTGCTGCTCTGGATAAAGCTGGATTGGGAAGCCCAGCCCCCTTCTCCCATCATTCTCCATCCCTGAGCAGCAGCCCCTGAGTCGTTTCTCAGGAACTCTAGGCTTTGCAGAACCACTTGGAAGCCATTGAACTCTGTGATGATTTTTCTGTCTCTAAAATTTTGTTTTAGTTATTTGAGTTATGCATACATCTCTCTCTCTCTCTTTTTTTTCCATTGAAAGTAAAGTTTGGATTTTCATACGGTGATTTTCATTCCTTTTGTAAATAGATGGTATTACAACAAGATTTAGCATTAAGATTTTTGTTTTTCTTTAGCCTTGTTGCAGATCTATTTGCCCCAAACAAGTAATACTGAAAATTACTTGAGAAGTGTCTTTGAAGCATTTTTAGTGCTTCATGTTTGCTTGATGTACACTTTCTGAAAGACATAGTTCCTTAAACCATCTTGACTTTTATAATATTTATCTTTTTCTGTGAAAGTATGAACATTGGAACATATTGATCAGAGCTTCTGTTTTAGAGATAATATCTCTTGGTTTCAGTTTTTGGTTGTTCAGATGCTATATTGCTTTCTATTCCAATGTAATTTGGTTTTATCTTAGGTATTTTGCTGGAGATCAGTCAGCAGTTCTCTGAAGCAGTGTCGATGGGCCTATCCACGCCAAGTCTTCATTTCTGATATTGCTTTAAGTAGAAATGAAATTCTTTTTGTCACACGAGATGGAGAGGGATTTAGAGGGAAATGGTTTGAAGAAAAAAGAAAGAGTTCTGAAAAGAAAGGTTAGTTCATGTATGTGAATGGCATATAAGGGTACCTTTTAGTTAATGTTTAATTTTATAAGTATTTGCCATTAGGTTTAATTGACAAGTATAATTAGGTTTTTACCCCTGTGTCTCTTTTGATTTTGGTTTGTGTGTGTACAGGTAAACAAAGGGAATTCTAGCCACTTAAATCTGGAGTTTTCATCCTTTTATCTGTCTCAGTATGCCCTGAGGTCATGTACCTTCCCTTCAGTAACAGTGGCTCATTTTTGTCAATCATTAGCCTTGGAAAAAAAAAACTCCCTAGATGGTTTTGAACCATCTTTCAAGCTATTTTTTTTTCTCTCCCCACATTGAGAATTGATTGGCTTATGCTCTGTTTTTTTGTTATTGTTTTTGTTTTATTTTACATATTTGTATATATAAGACTAAAAATTTAAAAGATATCTTAGGACTTAGACGAAAATCACAGGAAGAATAAAGTTTTTTTGTTCATTGAGAATTTTAAAAAGTACCAGTTTTATTAAATAATTGCTGAATAATTAGAAGTTTTATTCATTCCTTGACTAATATAGAGGATAGCTTTAATTAAGATGCCACTATTGAAAATTAAAGTTAATCTGTTTGATTTTTTTTTCCTTCCAGAAAAACTAGAATTCATTTACTTCTTTACATCTCATTGCTCCCACCCCAGCCCAAATCATATCACATGTGTACTGCAAAAAATAAGCTTTCTTATTTCCACTCTTGTTTCCTTTTATCTGTTCTCTTACCAGAGTGAGCTTTTACTATCTGATCCTAATATTATTGTGTCTAAAAACTCTTTGATGGTTCCCTCACTTCCTAAACATGGCCTACAAGGCCCCTGGCTCTGACCCTTGTCTGTGTCTCAGAACTCCTCTTGCATTCTCTCCCTCTCACTTACCGTTCTCCAGACACACTGACCTTCAGGTTTTCATTCCTGTCCAGGGCCTTTCCTAATTTTTCACATCTCATCTTAATTTATACCTCATCAGAGATGTTTTCTCTGATTCCTCAATCTAAGTTTAGTTACGCTGTTTCACTTTTAAATTCCCTTTATATTCTCATCATGCAGCCTATCGTTATGCGTTTTTATGTATTTATCTTTGTGATTACTTTTTCCAATGCTTGTCTCCTATCAGACTATAAGATGGCAAGGACCATGTATGAGGTCTTTATATCCTTATTGTAGAATCCAAGTTTCCACTATAATCTTTAGCACATAGTAGTTCTCATTAAGTCCTGTGTTGAATGAGTAAATCAGTTATTATATGCTAAAAGACATATAAAGAGCATTTATAATTACTCAGAAAATTATAAACATTCTTCAAAATTATAAAGCCACAAAAGCATGATTTCTGGGCAGTTTATTGATTTTTTGTATTTTATTTCTTTATAGATTAATTAAGTCTGTCAACATTTAAGGGCTATGTTTTAGTTATACAAAAATATATAAGATGGGCCCCTCAGACATTCATGATTTTGCAGGGCCAGTAGGTATGTATATACAAATTTACGTTTCATGGAGACATACTAATATGCACATCATAAGTCTTTTAAGAGCACAGAAATTGGGATAACTGACTGTCGGGGAAGATTAGTAAAGCCCCCATGACACTGAAATGAATTGAGTTTGAGAGAGTAACCGGAATGCAGGTTCAACTGGTAAATGTTGGAAGTCCTTAGAATCGTGTCTTCATCATACTTGGTGTTCTAAAACTGAATTCATGATCTCGTGCTACCGCATCTGCTTTCCAGTGTTTTCTAAGAAAATGGTAAATGGCTATCTTTGACATCCCACATTTCCTCGCCCTCTACATTCCATTAGTCACCACGTTTTGCCACTTTTGTCTCAAATATTTCTGAAATCTCTACTTTTCCCTAGTTTCATTGCTACAACTTCAGTCTATAGTGTTCTTTTTTTTCCTCTGGACTCTTAGTTTCCTAAAGGATCTTTTTTATTTTTATTTACTTTAAACATTTTTCATACTACAGGCAGAATCATTTCTTTGCATGCACATTTCATATTTTCATCGTGGCCTTGATCTGACTTGTAATGATAAAATCAGTTAATATCTGTCTTCTCTGCTAGATGGCGTACTCCAAGATGGAGGGACATGTCTGTCTTGTTCACTGCTGTATCACTAGGGATAGACTGATAATCACTGTATCACAGTAGCACAGGGTGATCACTCAGGTATTTACTGAATAAATGAAAGGAAGGGAGCGAGCAAATAAATAGATTAGATGAAGATGCTAAATTTAAATATTTTTAATGGAAACAGGTATTTTAAAAGGTAGTATAACACTATATTTGCTTTTTAGAGACCTTTGGTTGCAATGTGGAGGATAAAATCATGGATAATTGAGAACTGACTCACCAAAATTTCCTTTATAATACAACCAGTATATATAGGGTGTAAATTGTGTTGAAGAGAGAGAGGATGTAGTTCTTAAAAAGTACTTAATGCATACAAAAATAGTTACATATTCTCCCAATTGTTTTTCTATTCCATATACTCCTAAATTGTTTTTTAACAATGTCAATAAAGCCTTGGTTAATAGAAGTTAATTTTTTTTCTTTTTAGCAGAGATTTTATCAAACCTTCATAATGCCTCACCAGATGTATCTTGTGTCTCTGATATAAATAGTGTATATGAAAGAATTCGACTTGAGAAACTAACTTTTGCTCATAGAGCTGTTAGTGTCAGCACAGATCCAAGTGGATGCAACTTTGCAATCTTGCAGTCAGATCCTAAAACAAGGTACACTTGTATATATTAAATTTCATTTTTATAAGGAATAATCACTGGGTTTTTTTTGCTTTCAGTAGCCCCTGGAGCAAATTTGAAGAGCTCTTGCCAAGTCTTGTGGTGACTTTAGACATATAATCATGTTACCAGGATAACTCAAAGGTGGAATTTGTTGTATTGGAAATGATGTGTTCCTTTTAGTTGGTGAACTGATATTTATGGAACCTATTGAAGTTATATACATATACACACAAAACTTTTCTTTAGTACTTTGTGATATACTCTAGGTTCTCAGATTCTAAGAAATATAAATACTTGTGTAATTTACAAAAATTTCTAACCCTTCAATACAATGAGAAATGACAAAAGAGGAGATGGTGTAGAGTCATCTAGAGGGCATTGAGTATCTCAGTGCAAATCTTCTGTCACATTAGTATAGAGATGACAGGTTAAGATAAGTATCAAGGGTATTAATAAAGGGGGAAAAAGTCCTAGGAACTCGGTGACCGCCCCTTCTGGTTTGACCATTTCTGTCCCATATTTAGCAGTGAAAGTCTCCTCTCTTGGGAAGACCAGGGGCGGGGGTTGGTCACCCTACCTGGAAGGGTGAAATGTAGATTGGGAAGGTATGATGACATTCTTACAGTACTGAAAGAACTGGGGTTACAGACTGATATGTGGCTGTGTTGTGTGTATTTCTCTTTACTTCCTTAAGTTTCTAACTTGATCTGGGGCCTGAAGTATTTACTCACTTCTTTGTATATGTTTTTCTTCACTTGTGAAATAAAAGGACATAAAAGAGGAAAAGGTTGAGCACTCTACTCTTTTTGAATGTTTTTAGTTATGCTTTTGATCATTTAAAAAATTTCTGTGAGTCATTTGAATTTATATCCTAGTATTTCCTTACAGAAATTAGAAAACACTACTTTCAGAGGAAAACAATTGTCATTTTAGTTTAGGAAAAAAACAAATACATAAAGGAATAGAAAAAAAATTCAAAGAGTGATAACAGTATCTAAGACTGTAATAGTCTTAGGTTTTTGGAAGTACCAAATTTAAAATTTTCTAAGCTAATAAATAAAAAATAAATTACACTTTAAAGGGAGAATTGGCTAGGGATACTTTGGGGTTATTTTTGTTTTCTTGAAAGTAAAAGTAATTTTTGTTTTATTTCTAGCCTTTATGAAATTCCAGCTGTGTCCTCATCCTCCTTTTTTGAAGAGTTTGGCAAACTGCTGAGGGAAACAGATGAAATGGATAACATCCATGATGTGACATTTCAAGTTGGCAATAGAATCTTCCCTGCACATAAATATATTTTGGCAGTGCGTTCTGACTTTTTCCAGAAATTGTTTCTTTCAGATGGTACTACTTTAGACTTTACAGATGTTTACCGGAAAGATGAAGATTCTGCAGGGTGCCATCTCTTTGTGGTAGAGAAGGTTCACCCTGACTTGTTTGAATACCTTTTACAATTTATATACACAGATACTTGTGACTTTTTAACTCATGGCTTCAAACCAAGAATAAATTTAAACAAAAAAACAGAAGAATATCAGGGCACTCCAAATTCTCATTTGAATGAAATGAATTCCCACGAAGATAATCAGAAGACAGCATTTGAAGTTTACAAAAATAATCAAGCTCATACAATTAGTGAAAAGCAGAAAAGCAAATCCAGATCTTCCAAAAAAGTGAAAAATGTTGGGGAAGATGACCCTGTAAGAATGTTGCAAAATGTTGCAAAGAGATTTGGTTTCAGTAATTTGAGTAGTAGGTATGACTCCTTAATATCTGTTCATGTACCTCATTCTGTCTGCCTTTTAAAAATTCTCTATTTGTTTTTCTTCTGCTTTGCTGCTGCTGCTCCTGCTGCTGCTTCTCCTCCCCCACTCCCCCTTCTATCTTCCTTTCTCCGCTGCTCTCTCCCCCTTCCTTCCCCACTCTACCTCTTCCTAACCTTCTCCCTCCCCCTCCCCTCCCCCTCCCCCTCCCCGCCTCCTCTTCCCTTTTTGGACCTGTTTCTTTTTTGGGGGGGGGTAGTAATTTGGTTTATGTTTATGTAATTATCATTTTTTTAAATGGAGGTACTGGGGATTGAACCCAGGACCTCATGCATGCTAAGCATGCACTCTACCACTTGAGCTATACCCTCCCCCTTCTTTCTTTTCGTAGACCTGTTTCTGTATTTTCTGTAAAGCTATCTCTCTGGGATTCCCTGGATTAAAACATTAAAGGATGGGAAGGCTGTTAGTGGGTTTGAACTCTCAGTGGTATTTGTATAATGGATCTGGAGAGGCAGGCGGTGTAGTATTCTGGGAAGTGTACTGTCTTTGGAGTTAGAAAGACCTGTATATGCCTCATAGCTCTACTGTGATGAGCTCAGGCAAGTTTCTTATTTCTTTGAACCTCAGTTTCTCTATATAAAAAGGGAGGCATAATACTGACCTAATATTGTTGGTGTAGTTAGGTCATATAGCATGTGTAAAGTGCCTAACACAGTATTTGTCATATTATAAACCAGATTTTTTTGTAATTCTCCCAATCTTTAAGGTATTTATGTTGCCTGTGGCAGTATAGCCTTAGTTGTGGGGCAGGAGCAGAGGAGGGGAGTGTACATCGTTTTCTGTTTAAAAACAACAAAGGGCTTTGTGCCATAGCTTTCATTTATTTTTTTGTCAGTAATGATGTTAATATTCAATAATTTTGAATATTCAAGAAAATTAAAGAATGTATGGTATTTCTTTATCACAGAATTGGGGTTAAGATACTTTTCTAAGTGATACAAAGTACATAATCATGTTCATATGTGAGCTAATTTGTTTGTTTTCATAGGGGAATATATCCACCAGCTGTTAATGTTTATCTATTCTTGATAGGTTAGATGGAGTCAGATTTGAAAATGAAGAAATTAATGTAATTGTCAAGAAAACTGGTAATAAACAAAAGCTAAGTCAGAAAAAATGGTAAGTTTGGAAATGAAGATAAACTTTTCATATCTAGATTTTGGGACCTAAGTGTGGAAACAGAGCTCTCCTTACTTACATATGAAGCAAAATGTGTAGGTGGCTAGCCTCTTAATTTTACTAGCCTTACTCATTTCTGAAAATGTTGGAGAGCTCTTAAGGCAAATAGAGTATTAACTGCTCAATAATACATTGATACAATTCATTTTTTTCTGATTACTTTCTAATGAAAGGAATTTTTAATATTTTTTCTTGGCCAAATTTTATGTTTTTTAATAAGTAGGTAATGATGTAAGCCAAAACAAAATAATTATGCCTCTTCATCAGAATGGTATTTCCTTTAGTGTAAATTTTTTCCGTAGTAAACATACTATTCTAAACATATTAATTACTAAATTTTTGTTTTTAGGTATTTGTACTTTGTAGGTGAAAAGTTTGGGAGAAAAAACTGTAAAGGTGTCTGGACAGTACTTAGCACAGAATAGGTTGTACAAATAATTAAACTGAAGACCTTTGACTGTGATGTTGCTTACTGTCATATTATTAGCACCTGTCTTGTGATGAAAAAGGAAAATCAGAAGAAAGTCTGCTGAGTATTTATCTCTATTCATAGTTTCCCTTTCAAATAGTATCTTTATTTTAAGACATTATTGTCTTTCCTAACGTGGAAGGAGATGAAGTACTTTTTTATGTATGTCTTCATGTTGTTGATTCTCTGCCACTTTTAATTAGGAGAAAATCAAAAGTTAAGCTTCAGATCCTATAATGAATTTTCTTATTTGCTAAATATGTGAAGAAAGTGCTCTTGCTTCACTTAAATTTTATTTTTTTTAAGTTCGTTTCTATGTGATGTGACCATGAAATCAGTGGATGGAAAGGAATTCCCTTGTCATAAGTGCGTTCTTTGTGCTAGACTTGGTAGGTACACGTTTTAGTTAGCTGCAGATTTATTTGTTTTAGTATCATTTTACTATTCTTAATGAATTTTTTTTTCTTTCAGAATATTTTCATAGTATGCTGAGTAGCTCATGGATTGAGGTAGGATTTAAGTAGAAACCATGTAGGCTGGTAACAACACTTCATATTTTTGGGAAATTGCATACTAAAGAAATTCAAAACTATTTTAACTCAGTTTTTCTTTTGTATCAAACTTTATTTATGCTTAAGCCTGCTAGAAGATAGCAACATTTAGAAATGAAAATTGTTGCAAAAAGCTACTTAAATAAACTCCCCTATTATTATTTGGACTTGTATTTTGAATACCAGTCCGTTTCTTTTTTTTCTCAGTTTTTCTTGATTCTTTTTCATGTTGCAAGCCATTTTAAAGTTAAATGTATCTCATTTTAATTTTGTGTTTTATAAATGTTACGTTTGTGATTTCTGTTGTTTATCATACCAGTGACCTCAGGTTGTAGTAGTATTTTGTAGTTTAAAGTTAATTCTTTTACTTTATTTTATTTAGGCTTCCAGTTGTGCTGCTCTGGAAATGCCAATACATTCTGACATACTGAAAGTTATTTTGGACTACCTCTATACTGATGAAGCTGTGGTGGTAAAAGGTATTAATAAGAGTTAGGACATTTTAGACATTTAAGATAAAATTGAAAATGATTAAAATCATATGAATCTTAATTTCGTCTCTAATTGAAATATGTTATAAACAGGTTTAAATTTAGAATAAGCAATAGAGATGATTACTAATAGTAAAGGAATGAAAAAGAAAATTTTCATTACTTATATGAAAATGAACTCTCTAAGAATTACTAATAATGGTTGAAATTAGATTTAATATTTTCATACCTAGCTACTTCTATGGTTTAGATGAAGAATTGACATTAGGGAGTATAGTTTTGACAAGTAGTCTACAGAAGTTCTTTCTTGCATATTTTTTCCCTTGTGCTAACATATCTGAAGTAAAAAAAATTAATAATTGAACCTGAATGGTGTACTTTGCATTTATATTCTTTGTCAGGCAACACACTGCGTTTTATTTACCAGGTGTCTTTAGTCATAGGAGTGGTGTACTTCTGTGTTCCATGGTATGTGTATAACACAATTTCTTTATTCCTCTGTTAATGGGCAACATTTAGGCTGTTTCTATATTTTAACTATTGTGAATATTGCTGCAGTGAACATGGGAATGCAGGTATGTCTTCAGGTCCTGATTTCAATTCCTTTGGCTGAATAATCAGTAGTGGAATTGCTGTATCATGTGGTAGTTTTATTATTTTTAATTTTTGAAGCAGCCGCCGTACAGTTTTGCATAGTTGCTGTACCAGTTAT